TTTGTTCGTTTGTTTGTTTTTTGAGACAGGGTGTCACTATGTAGTTGAGACTGACTGGGAACTCACTATGTAGCCCAGGCTGGTCTTGAACTCACAGTGATCCTCCTGCCTCAGCCTCGAGTATGCTGGGATTACAGGTGTGTGCCACCACACCCGGCTACACTGTATATTTTTAAATTATTATGAATAAATTTCAAACATATCACCAAAGAAAATGTTGGTTTCAAATCCATCACAGAGCCCAGGCTGTCCCCAAACTCATGATCCTCCTGCCTGAAATTATAGGCATATGCTACCACACCTGGCTCTTATCGGAGAAGGAGGAAGGGAAAAAGAGGAGTAAGGAGGGGCTGGAAGAAAAAAAAGAAGAAAAGTAGACAGAGATCCGTCACACTGAGATACTTCATATCTATGAGAACAGCTACTACTGGCGGTGCATGCCTGTGATCCCATCACTTGGGAGGCTGAGGTAGGAGGATTGCTGTGAGTTCAAGGCCAGCTTAAGCTACATGGTAAGTTCAAGGGCGGTATGATCTACATGGAAAAACCCTGCCTCAAAAAAACTGGACCAAAAAAAAAAAATGCTACTACTGTCAAAAATTTTTTTTAAATTATAAACTTTAGGCTGAATGATACATGTATCCCATGTTGTGTATCCATTCATTTCTCTGTGGACACTTTCGGCTATTTAAATAATGCTGCTATAAACCGGTATTACAAATATCTCTTAAATCCCACTTCTAGTTCTTCTAGACCATATGATAATTCCTTTTATTTTTAAGGCGCTTTTATACTGTTTTCCATAGTAGCTGGTTCATTTTACATTCCCACCAACAGTGAATGAAAGTTTTAGTTTCTCCATATCTTTGCCAAAGTGACAGGAAATTCTGACATGCTACTGCATGACTACACCTTGAGGGAATGAGAGTAAATGAACCAGTCACAAATGGGCAAACAGTACTGTATTTTCCACTTACACAAATTACCACAAGTCGTCAACTTCATGAGACTATGTCCTAATGTCATTTAAAGTGATTAAAGTGGTAAAATTCGTGTTATTTATATTTTAATGTGTCCCAATCAATATCTGGCCCATTGATGACCTAACTCAGTAACTCTCAAATCAATGAATATTTTATTATGTGCCGTTAGGCCCAATATGGCCCTCTGTGACCCATTTCACACTTACTGCCAAGGTCCAGCTTCTTCCTTGCAGTGGGCATGGCAGAATGGATGGAGATTTGACAAGATTTGGAGGCAGAATGTCTTGATTCAATCCTTTTGACCACATTTTCTGCTGTGTGCCAAGAAGGGCTTTCTGCATTCTTAGCCCTGGGCTTCTGGCCCTTAGGGATGTCTCCTTGTAGTTTATCAAACTCTGCAAACAGTTCTGGAGAAAGGGGTCTGAACTTCTTTTCATTCCAAGATAGTTTCACAAAGAATGTCTTCTCATTTTTCAGATCCATCGGTATCACTCCGTCTGGTGCTAAAGCCACTACCTGAATTTAGGATCCATAAAGAAATAGGAAAAGATGAGGGCTAAGCCAGCCAGGGGAGATTCCAACAAAGCTACGATTAGAAGCCACTTGCTCTCACACCTATACCCAAAACATTATCTTTCCAAACAGAAGAGGTGCAGATGCAGCATAGCTATGTGTAGAAAAAGGGAGCATTTACTCAATCGCACATAGCTTCAAAGATGTCAGTGAGCTATACACAGTACATTATGCCCTTCATTTCCTTTTAAAAATGTTCACTGGTTTGACCTTTTAATTCCTATAGCACCCTAGGTTATGTATCTGTTATCTCACTCCTAGATAATTTCCAGACTTCCCCTAGGTAATACCTATACTCTGTGTTGCTTTCCTTTCCAGATCACTCTATTCAGCTAGGCCAAATTTTTGCACAAAAACTTCTCTAAATGCTCCCCTGAACAACAATCAATAGTGGCTCCCCATGCAGTAAGGTCAGATGGTATGAACTCACTTTTCACTGTCTTCTAAAGTCTTGCCCCATCTTACCTACAGATTGCTCAGGGCTGCTCAAGTGGCCTTGTACCACTAGTGGAGCCTGGCGTTCACAGTCCTGCTCATTCTCACCAACATGCTCCTGTCTACACACACCCTTCTCTCTACCCTTTCAAAGCTAGCCATCCTGCTGCTTCAACTACATCTGCCCTTCTCTCCTTCATTCATTTAACCCAGATATAAGTATTTGTATAGCCATGAGAGACTAAAGTCTCTGTCCGCCATTAAACTAACCACTTATTCACCGTAAGACCACACTTGAACACCACAGCCTAACCCCACTGAGAACCTGAAGAAGCTCCAGGAACAAACCAAGTATTTAGTCTCCAAATCAGTGTTCCACTTCAGCCTATAAACCAGCAGCTTATTATCTGATTTATTCTAAAGTCCCTGAGAACAAATTTTCCCATTGCTACTGGCACTCTGTGCTGATTTACTCAAGGTGAAGTCCTGATTTAACAAAGCATATTCAGCCTCACAACGCTCTATGCCTGCCACAATCACAGCTATATATAATTTCCCACGGAGACATATTTGCTGATGTCTGCTCATCCCTCAGGTCATAACCCAAATGTCACTTCCTCAAGGAGGCTCCTAACACACAATATGTGCTCCCAGTAAGTATTTGTTTAGATGAAGCGAGCAGGCAGGCAGAGGTAACAGGAAAGAATTAATTCCCCATGGAGCACATTAGGGCCAGTAATAATATTTCTGGGGTCATGCAGTTTGGAAGGCTACAGAACTCAGAATCAACATAGAACCCATGATCAAGGCACCACCTACCCGAACGGGGCCAATGATGGTCTCAATACTGATGTTGTCATCACAGGCAGGGTAGTCATACCAGAAAATCTCCTGTGCATCGGGCTTACGGCCCAATAAATGCTGTTTGCAGGGAGCAACTTCACAGAATCGGATAAACCACTGTACCCGTGCACATTTCCTAGAGCGAGGTTCAGAATCTATGAGGATTAGGTGGGAAGCAAAAAGAAAATGTAAGAATATTTTATTTAGCACCTCCTGTGTGCCCGACGTTGGGCCAAGCTCTCATTTTTAATTTTCATAATTACTATTTAAGTTGGTGCTATGGCCAACCACCCCCCTCCCCACTTTACAGGCAAAGAAATTAACCTTCAGGGACCTGGAATAATTTGTCAGAGGTCACAGGACCATCCAGCAGCCATCTGAGTCAATGCCATACCCATGTTCCACTTTGTAATTGTGTCTTCAGGAGACACGGGAATATGAAAGTACTTCAAAGGAGCTATTCCAATCACAGACCCAAAACAAATTATCAGTGGATAAATTCTGCAAATTAGTGAGTAAAAACGAAGGCATCAAATTATAGGGGGGAAAAAAAAAATCTCAGCAAGAATTAAGAGTAGCAACCAGCAACAACTTGCAACCAGAAAGATGACTTCTTGGAAACATGTTTGCAATCATTGGCTTTATCATTATACCATTAGTATCACTCTCTACCAAGTGAATATTCATACACTTAATAATACCATCATCGTCAAGCCTTTTTTTTTTTTGTACTGGGGATTGAACTCAGGCCCTTGCACTTAGGAGGCAGGCGCCAGAACCACTGAGCTAAATCCCCAGCTCACGCCCCTTCTTAACCTTCCAGAGCAGGAAGCCATCCAGCGGAGTGCCCACCACAGGGTACTCCAAATCTGTACACAGAACCCCGCTGCTGTGCTCCCCCTAGTGGACATTAATTTGATGAGGTTTCCATGTTGAGCATCCCTCCTTTGTATCATAAAATACCTTTTGTCTACTCAGTCTCTCCATTCTTTCTTTTGCTTTTTATTTTGTGGAACTGGCGATCAAACAAACTCAGGGCCTTGCTCAGGTGAGGCAAGAACTCTACTACTGAGCTACATCCCAACCCTTTTTTTTTAATTGAGACAGGGTCATACAAAGTTGCTTATTTTGGTCTAGAACTTGTGGTCTAGCTTCCTCTCTTAGGCATACAAACTGCAACAGTACTATCTCACTCATCTCATTCCCACACACCTAGAGGTAGTTTTGTGTAGTTTTGAGCTTGAGGCCAACCTGAGCCACAAGGTGAGTCAAAGCCAGCCCAAATGACACAGGACATAGCGAGACCTTGCCTCAAAAAAACAAAAACAAATAATCAGTTGCTTTTTTCCTTCTCAATCCTCCCTTTGGAGTTTTGCCCTATTCCACCTCCAGTGCACTCTGGATCTTCTTTTGCAGAGGCTTGAAGCTCAGCACACTGCAGGAGGCTCTTGTTCTTCTTGCCTACTGACCTCTTAGAGACAACACCTTTTCTTCTATCCTTTCCAACCTCATGCCTGAGTCCCGCTGAGTAAAACACCTAAAGTGCTTTTGTTTTTCCGGACTAGATACCAATTGATACACCTTCCTAAGCCAATTCACCTCCTCCTTTGTAAAGAAGTTGCATCCTCAGGCCAAAATCAAAGGCTATATATCTAGTACAGTACAAATTTCCTATTTCTTTTCTTCTTCCTTCTTCTCAAACTCATCCTTTCTCTCCATCCCCCAAATCCTGCTTTCATGACCATTTCTCAACCACTCCTAAAAATAATGCAAACGCAAAATCCCTAAGCCATCCAATTCCATTTTATCCAATATCACTCTGATCATTGCACAAGTTTTCTAGATGAAGAAGGAAACTGCTAGTGCTTGCACAATCCCACCTCACAGGCCGAAGGTGTGTGCTGCTGTGAACACAGCAATCCACAGCCTCCCTCCACCTCACCTCCCAGTCATCCCTAACCAGGAAGGCTGTTCGTTCCAGCCGTAAACTCACCATCTTCAAACAATTCAATCAATTTTGCAACATAAGGGTTTTGGTCATCTTCCCCTTCAATCAACACAAACTGTCCAACTTGGATGTGAGTCTGAGTTGAACAACCTTTTATTTTCACAGATATTTCTCTAGGAAGTAACAGAGAAACTTGTTAGGAAATCTCTTAGGGTGAGAAAAGCTCTTTAGACCCCGTGGAAATGAAAAGCATTCCTTAAACAGAAATTGCCTAAATAGTTCCTCTATGTTGACTAACTTTCTGACTGGGAAACCAACACACTAAGCAATATGTAAGAACAGAAAAAATGGGTCAAATGAATTGTTTTTGCATAAATGCTGTATCAAGAGAGCTTACTACAAACCCTAACTTCTTTCAGTTTTTGACAAAGGTTTTCTCAGGCTGGAAAGACGCCCAATGCTAGTATCAAAATTGTACAACTAGGAAACACACAGTAACAACATGTCTCATCTTATTAGCATGAAAAGTTACAAACAACTCAGCTTAAATAGGTATGACATGACTGCACATATTAAAATTTACGAACCCCTACAACTTTGCCCTCATTATTATTTATACCTAAGCTTACATCAGATAAAACCCTTCCTTGTATTCAATGCATGTCTACCCTCCCTTGGTCTTCAAGCTGGAATAACTGGAAGAGACCAGACACAAAATTAGGAACAGTTAAGTCTGAAAATCAATTTTGCCAGCCCAACCAAAGGGCCCCATCACTCACTTGTAGGTTTGGTGGCACAGTTTTCGATCCAGCAAAGGCCTGCCAACCCATGAATAAATTTTTCTGGTCTTCTGCCTTGTGTTGTAGGATGCCATTGTTCCTGTGAAAAAGCAGTAGCTGTGACTTACCATGGCAACACACATGGATTCTAAGATACAGTCCTGCCTTTTGTAAATTCAGCCTCCCCCTCCACCCCGCTGCTCCTCTCACATATTTTAGACTTCAATGGCATTTTCTCCAGGGAAGAAGTCAGGCTTGATGAAGATTAAACATAGGCAATTTAGTATGAGCTATATACATCTTGTACTATGCTTTATCTCATCTTGTATACAGAAATAACACATAAGAAAGTAAACTATAAATGTTTAGAAAGTCCTATTTGGAAAAAAGGCACAACAGACATGAAACAGATATCTAACAATGTGAAATGTTTCACATCAGTTATGGACAGGCATAAAATATAAATCCAGGAGCCTGGCATGGTAGTACACACCTATAATCTTAGCACTCAGGAGGCTGAGGCAGGAGGACTGATAATTCAAGACCACCATAGGGCTACACAGTGAGTTCAAGGCCAACTTGAATTGCATAGCAAGACCTTGTCTCAACATACACACACATGCAGCAAGGGACAACTCAACACAAAGAGCTCAGGAGAACCCCTAGAAGTTAGAGGAACAAGATTTGTGGCTATTCAGAGAGAAAGGGGGATTCCTGGGCTCAATATTGAACTGTTAGTAGATATTGATAAGGTAGTAAATCCATACTCTCAGTCCTCTTAAACTCAGGCTATTTTAGCTTTTTTTTTTTTTTGGTACCGGGGATTGAACTCGGGTCCTTGCACTTGCAAGGCAGGCCACCGAACCGCTGAGCTAAATCACCAGCCCTATTTTAGCTTCTTAAAACAGGTATCCTCCTTTAAAAACCAAGCCAAGGCAAAATTTAACTTTCCATTTATAGGGGACCATGGACAGTGCTCAGTGAAAAGTAATGTAGCTGTACAAGAATGATTAGCCCCACATCAGTGGCGGCGAACCTATGGCACGCATGCTGCAGCAGGCTGTTTGTATCACTGAAAGCTCTACAAGGTCCCCATCCCTGCCCTAGGTGGAGGCAGAGTAAATGGAAGAACCAGGACCACATAATGTACCTTTCCTCTATCACTCTGCACAGTCCATGCCTGCTTTTCCAAACCTCAAAGAGAAGGTTGTCAGTGTCCTCAGACTTGTGCAGCTGCTGTTCTCTTCTACTTTTCTGCAGGGGATCTAGCTCCAAGGAAATTCCTCAGAGAGAACTTCACTGAATACCTAAGGGAACATTACCTGCCCCCTGGCTCATTTCACATTCCCTCACTCTATTGTCAAAGAACTGACCATTATATTACTTTACTATGTATTGTGCTTTCCACAATACAATGGTAACTTCCAAAAAGCAGGGAAGTTGGGAGTGTGTCTATGTTGTTCATAACTGGATCCGGGTGAGGATTTGGCACAAAATAGGTAAATGAGTAGAATACAGAAAAAATAAACTGGTTTTAAAAATTATCAGGACAATAGCAAATTTGGTGAGAAAGTACAGTAGACAGAATTCTCGTAATCCACCAGAGGACATGTAAATTGGTACAACCACTTTGGAAAATCGAACTTTTTAAAAAAATCAAATTCTGGCCGGGCGTGGTGGCACACGCCTGTAATCCAGCACTCCAGAGGCTGAGGCAGGAGGATCATTGTGAGTTCAAGACCAGCCTGGGCTACATAGTGAGTTCCAGGTCAGTCTCAACTACATAGTAAGACCCTGTCTCAAAAAACCCAAAAAATTCTGGACATATTCATACCTATGACCCAGCAATTCCAACAGATATACATATATATCCTCAAAAGACATGAACAGTATACAGCAATGAAATTAAACCAATTCCATCTGTACATATAACAATGTGGGGAAACCTCACAAAGTATTAAGCTAAAGATATTGAGATGCCAAAGGTATAAAAGGCCTGATATGCCTTTGTGCTGTTTCTCTGGAGGAACTCCTAATTTTTTGAACTTTTTGTTAAAGAAAGGCATACCTACAGAAAAATACATACGTGATATAAGTGACAAATACACAGCTCAATGAACTCATAGCTGTGAGTTATCCCCACCCCAGCATTTCATCTCCTCTACCATCGGCCTTTACTATTCCCAAGAATACTGAATGGACTGGAGAGTCAGGCCTGACTTGGGCTAGTGAAGGCTTTGGCTTCTAGGAGATGCCCACTGGAGGATCTCTGTGCCACAGATACCAGACATCTGGAATATGCATCCCATCCAGCCCAGGAGCCACAGCCCAGGGAAACAGCTAAGGGAGCTGTAATAATATCTGAATCAGTAGGACAGAAGGTTAAACTCAATATATTTATCTTGTTCAATTCTTTCAATAATCCTAGAACAATGTTAACACAGATTAAGTGCCTCATAGGTACTGAATAATAAATATTTGCTAAATGATAGGTAGATGCTATTATCACTTCAAGATAACTTATCCAATATTATATAGGATGGCTCAGTCTTAGAAACTCAAACCCTGGCTGGGCATGGTGGCACACACCAGTGACCCCAGCACTTAGGAGGCTGAGGCAGGGGGGCCACCATGAGTTCAAGGCCAGACAGCCTTGGCTACACGTAGTGAGTTCAAGCCCAGCCTGAACTACACAGTGAGACCCTGTCTAAAAAACAAAAAACCCAAACAACCTCAAACTCTGAACAGCAAGATCCCAATGACTGTGCTCTTAATTACTTCCCCTTACAACACACTCTCATTGAATGATGTTATTTTATGCCTGAATGCTATCTTATGCTTGCTTTCGGTGACTTATTACAGTAAGTCAGGCTTCCCCAACCACTGAATGACAAGTAGACTAGGCTTCAATTTTCTTACCCACAAAATGGGGATAACAAAATCTTCCTTTTATTCAACCAATTTTATTATGTGCCCTATTTTGTGCACTATTCTAGGACTATTAGTAATTAAGAGAGAAAGTGCAAAATGATAAATCTACCCTCCCTCTCTTGCATTCATCTGTAAGGGACAAAATTTTATTTACTTTTTGAACATAATTTGAGGTTATGGAACTTACAATCTGTGCAAAATGTTCCATTCAATTTTAGGGAATCCACAAACTTTTTAAGGTCCACATATGGCAATACAATTAAAACCTGTTGCACATACAATTGGTAAAGAATGCTCTCACATTGGACAAGTCACTGGCATTCATAAACCACCTAATACAGTAGAGAGGACACTATTACTCGAGTTTTACTGGCAAATGAAATCAGATCTAATCATTATAGTTTCACAAGCTGTAGAATCTTGCACCTCATTCTTCTAAATCCAGCGCTTTCCCTCAACTATCACAACACAAGGTCTTTCTGTTCAAGGCTGAAAAGTAGAAGAGCCACTGCCCTTATCTATCGAGAAGGGGGATAGGAGTCCAGCAGTTAAGAAAAGATTATCCTGAGAAACAACTTAGGTAGGAATTTGGGCCCCTGAGTCACAAAAAGCGACAGAGACAAGCCTCCGAGCGCAATCACTACACACACACAATGTGGTAATAACATCTGCTCCCCATTCCCTGTAGAGCTTGCTACGCTATGGCTCAGGAGAGAATGATGCGAGTGCTTCTCAAAGGCAAGGCAGATGGAAGAAGAGGCTAAGACCATTCCAGAGCGTTAGTGGGCAGGGGTCAGAACGCTCACGCTTCTCTGCTGCCGCCTTCCAGCTGACCCACTGTATCCACCGCAAACTTTCAAGTGCCGGGCTAAGAGAGAAGACTTTTAGGAACGGCGAGGTGGAAAAGACCGCTCCTGACGGGTCTTAGAACGTTGCCAGGCACTGGACAGGCGCTCGATGCCCGTCAGAAGAGAATCACATCCTCACTTCCAGAGGTTCGGACTCACCAGGGGCCGAACCTTCCGCGGGCTGGTCGTAGGCTCTACGCTTCTCACCGTCTCTGCTTCGGGATCTCTGTGGGCTGCAGCAACTCCAACCTATCCGAGCTGGACTTCTTCCTTAATAGCCACCGGTCGCTGACTGTAGACAAACCTGAAGCCTGGCTGGATCTCGAAAGCAGAGAAAAGAAAATTTCGCGCCAAAGGGCGTGGCCCCGCCCCCAATCTGTCTACGCGAGGCGTCTCCAACCACAGCCCGCCCCCCCACCTCAGGGTGTATGACGTACTTCCGCCGGCGCCAGCGCCCGACATCCATTCGATCGGCGCGCGGTTCCCGGAAGTCCTAGACGCTGAGCTTTGCTATTCCAAGATGGTTGCTCGGCCGATTTAGAGATTTCCTTCTCCTTTCTGCATTCTTTTCCTTGTGCTTTAATGACCTGGAGGTGACGCAGTAAAGGATCCGACGGAAATACATAGAACTGGAGTTCTAAAATGGCGAATCGCACAGTGAAGGATGCGCATAGCATCCATGGCACCAACCCCCAATACCTTGTGGAGAAGATCATTCGGACGCGAATTTATGAATCTAAGTACTGGAAAGAAGAGTGCTTTGGACTTACGGGTGAGAGAGAGCGCGCCTCCTTGTGGCCTATTTCTCCTGACTCGCCGCCGGTAAGACCAACCCTTGGGGTGGTCCTGGAGGCAAGTATATCAGTCATCAAAAACAATTTGAGCGCCTTCTCTGTGCCTAGACTTGAGTTTTGTATTGAAGTCACAGATGAATCCGAGTCCTACTTTATTATGAAGGGTGTCTCAGGTTGAGGCATTCCATATATGTTAGCCAGCTGGGTTCCAAACATGAGTTCAAAACTTTTGAACTCGGGGAGCTGGATAACTCCTTGACATGCAAGTCTTAGGGGAAGTCACCATAGCCAAAATCAAATTATTACTATCCTTAAGCAGAGGTCAGCTCTAGTATTTCTACACGTGAGTCCTAGTATAAGTGTAAGTTTTTGAGAGAAGCCTTGTAGTCTTAGGATCTTTGTTCGAATTCGGGCGTAAAACCATGTCCTGTAACATTGGCTGTGGACCAGAGCTCTTAACCTTAGGCCTCATTTTTCTTACCTGGAAGTAAGGACAGTGTTAGAACTTTCTGGTTTATGGTAAAGATTAAATCGGTAATGGTAAATGCTTAGAGTACTTGGTATTTAGAAACCTCTCCCTTTGTATTAGCTATCAGTCGTAGTACTATATTATTCATACATGCTTGTTCCCCTAATAAACTCTTGATGGCTGTTAGCGTCCAAATCTTGAGCTGTTCCATTTCTATCCAAAAATAGCTCTTACTTGTTTGTTTGTTTCTTTTTTTTTTTTTTAGCTGAACTTGTAGTCGATAAAGCCATGGAGTTAAGGTTTGTGGGTGGTGTCTATGGTGGAAACATAAAACCAACTCCCTTTCTGTGTTTGACCTTGAAGATGCTTCAGATTCAACCTGAGAAGGATATCATCGTAGAGTTTATAAAAAATGAAGATTTTAAGTAAGTGCGTGTTGACCAGCTATTATAAAAACTTCAATTTAAAATGGGTGTGGTAGTGCATGCCTGTAATCCCAGCACTTGGGAGATTGAGGCAGGAGGATCTCTGTAAATCGGAGGCCAGCCTGGGTTACATAGTGAATTTGAGGTTAGCCTGGACTACACAGCAAGAGACCCTGTATAAATCCCCCCACCTCCCAAAAAGCTTCAATTTAGTGGTTCAGAATTGTGCTTTGGTTAAGAACTGTGAACACAATGTATCTCATCTCCACAGAGTTGCATTTAAGATTTCCTTCTTTAGTATTTGAACTTATATTTTGTTTAATCTGATTGTATTCACCTTTTATTTTACTTTCTCAGTATTAGTAATTTTTCACACACAAAAGTATTTCACAAATTGAATAGTCAAGGAGAAACCAGTGTCTAATATTTGGTAGGAGAAAGTTACATAGGGTGGTAGTGGTGACGTGCTAGGTCTGGATTCATATGTCAACTATTATCCACTAACCATGACTTTGTTAATTCTCTGAGCTTTAATTTATCTGTAAAATGGGGATGATAATAATACCAATTCATAGTACATGCATACCAACACAGTGCCTGTTGCATGGTAAATACCTAAAAAATGTTTGGCTGCTTTTTTATTATCTATTCTCAAGAAGTTCACAGAAAAATGAGACAAATGGTAATAGTTTTACCACATGTCATGCTGTCTTCCAAGGTCTTTAAATTTAATAATTCACTTTTGCATCAACATTATAAAGGGCTGGGGATTTAGCTCAGTGCTTACGCCGCCTGCCTTGCAAGCACAAAGACCCAAGTTCGATCCCTGGTACCAAAAAAAAAAAACACTATAAAATTGCCATTTTAGAAGGAAACTGAGGCACTGAGAGATTTAAATAATTTGTCCAAAGTCAGACAGCTAGGAAGTAGCAAATGTTATGTGATGTGCTTAGCACTTTCTTGCATTTCTTATTAAATATGGCAAGCCAGTATATTAAGTAGCATTATCTCCATCTTACAAGGATTGAGAAAACAAGTAACTTGCCCCACAGAGATGGTAAATTATGGAATCGAATTTTAAACCAGAGAACAATTTTTTCCAGCACCCATGTTCATAGGTATATGTACTTGATCTTATATTATTGAATATATTTTGCACCTTTTAATAACTCCCATCTTCTTGAATTCTTAGAATATTCCTGTGAAGTAGATAGTTTTTATCCTAATTTTACAGGTGATATATAAGAGTTGAGCAGTATGTATCAAGTTTCCATAGCCAGTAATCCATAGAAAGGAAACTTAAACTCAGATCTGCATATTTTAGCCATCTTCTGCTCTATGTTCCCTCCAAAATCCAGCTTTCTGGTCTGCTAAAGTGATGAAAAAACACATTTATCCTCAAGTGTTATGAGAGAAGCCAGTTGTAAAACTCAGGAACTTCTTAGGATGGCCTATTGTTTTCTCTGTCATCAACCAGGTATGTCCGCATGTTGGGCGCACTTTACATGAGGCTGACCGGCACTGCAATTGATTGTTACAAGTACTTGGAGCCTTTGTATAATGACTATAGAAAAATCAAGAGCCAGAACCGAAATGGAGGTGAGTATGATGGCAAGACTGTTACTCCAAAGTAATTTTTTTTTTTTTTTTTTGG